TTCAACTGACTGTAAAATTAGTAGATTTACTGTTGCAAAAAAAAAAAAAGGGGGGGGGGAAAAAAAGAGAGCTTTCACTTCACTTTAATAAGGTCACGGATGTGTCCTAGGCTGCCAACAAAAGCAGCTTTTAAAATCTTCGCAGCTGAACCCAACAACTTGCAAAGGCTGTAGAACAATGTCTTCAATGTACAGTGGAAACTTCTCTCCCTACAGTCAAGATGKAAAACTAGACAGTTAAAAACTTTCTATACTGTGAAGTTTTAAGTCTAATTGCATCTCACCCCAGGGACCCACAGGCTTGCTCTATGCTTAATATTTTAATAAATTCAGTCAGCCCTGCTTTTCAGGRAGCAAAATCGGTTCTTTGCCTGGATTCAGTAATTCAGCCCAAGCAATTTAATGGCAGAGCATGTATCTTCAAAAGATTTGTTTTAATTCCCACAACAGGGGCCAATMTGAGAAATCAAACAAAACTTTATCTGCTTCAACCATATTTGCATATTCAGTTCAAGCCATCAGTTAGCAGTGACCATTTATCACTCACTACAACAAAATTTTTGGGTTTGCTTTACTTTTTTTGCTGTCTCTTGCTAGARCAAAAATAGAGAAGTTTGTGTAGGAAGCAACTTTGAAAAGCTGTAGATGGAAAAGGAGTAAATGAGCTACTGCAGATACAGAAATCTAGACGTACTACATACCCAGAATTTCTGTGTCCTTTAAATACATCTTTACTTTGACGTGTTCTCTGCCATATGGCAATGCTCAGCTCAGCACAAGGGAGTTTTTCATCTGAGCTATGTGCGAAAGTCTTTTATAAACACTAACGGGAAAAGGAGTGTAAAAGGGGARGCTACAGCCCCTCTCTGAACCAGGGGTCTGCAGAAACACACAGCCACCATTATAACCAGCAGGAAGGTGCAGGGAGGCCATGCCAGCTGCCAGCAGGAGTGGGTAGTGGGGAGGAGTGAGGGACACTCTTCAAGTCTTCCCCAAAGCTTCCCTGATGAAATGCCCCATGAAGGAGGAAATTACACAG